CCCCCCCCCCCCCGAATCATCTGACTTATTTAAATGAGTGTTTTATTTGTCACTAAATATCAGAATTCATGTGGATAATAATCTTATTGATCTCCTTTTAACTCATGTTTACACGTGTGTTTGTGGACCTTATCTCATTTATTACACACTTAAATGGGTGCTACTGAAATGTGTTTATGAATCATGTCTTTGGTTAAGTGCTTACTCTTTAAGAAGCAGAGAAGCTTTTCATAAATTCAGTGTGTAAAGAGGATATTTTCAGTGCAGTGGAAATAAGATCATAAATGCTAATGGGGTTTGTTAAAAAATAGTCTTTTTGCTATCTAGCGAGCAGATTATTTCATACTAAAAGCGATGGTCACAATCTCAGAATCTCTCACAAGAAGGTTAAATACTTAATTCGTATTTTGATAAAGCTCTTAAAAACAAACCCAAATCATTGTCTGTGTATTTAGAGGAGTTCAGCCTCAATTGACCCGGATTATTGTTTTGTAAATCATATTTCAACTAATTTATGCTGTTCTTTGCTCCACTTCTGCTCATTTCTGAAATAGCTTCTCCTTGGTCCTTGAACAGTAAGCACATTTGGTTTTTTCTGTCTGCAATGTTATTCATGCAGACTAACTTTATAAGCTTGTCAGTTCATTTGTGTTTATTGGGAGCTGGGAAACCCTCTAGGGAACTGAAGTTTGGCATAAATGTATTTGTGTCTTAAATATATGTATTGAAAGTTACCAGTTTCATTTGACTCTGAGAATCCCTGTGGAAGACACATGCCATGCTATCGAGGTGCAGTGTGGCAGACAAGGGCTCTGATCTGACTGCATTAAAAATAGAGGCAGCATCACTGTGGAGCTCTCTGCATCATCTGTGAACACTGTGAAGAGAAAAAGGTTAACTTAGCATGCTTTTTTGGCATCTAGGAAGCTAGTTGAGCTACTTGGCTTTCTGAGTAGGTATAACTGCCTCTGGAATGAGATCAGTAACTTCCTTAAGATAAGATGCGATAACAGCAAGTCATAAATTGTAACCTGTAAAGTTTTTTTGTTTGATCTTTAATCAGTTTGGATGCTTAAGATAAAGCTTCACGAGTTCAGTTAATGTTCCTGTGGAAGGTAGCAATGTTTACTCTTGCAGTTTCTGTACTCAGTAAAGCTGGCTTGATTGGCAATCTATCCCCATAGACTTAATATTGTGCCGTTTCATTTCAGATGTGGAGTGATGCATGCATTTAGTGTGCTATAGGGAAATTTTCTTATGTTTCCACATAAAATTACTGAAGGTGTGCAAAGCATGTGTTTCTAATATTGTTGTAGAAAAATACCTATTTCTAATGTTTGCCACTTTTGAAATTAAGTCCAATGCAGTATCTACATAAATGTTGATGTAATACGGTGTGGGATCAGATTATGTATTGAGAAGCTTTGAGATTCTTAAAACTGTTCTTTGGTCTACTGATTCCAGCTATTGAGCTTTATTTGCTCATTTGTGAGGAAAAGAGATGGAACCATTTTTATAATTTAATTAAGGAGATGTTTGTGTAATGGTCTGCTAAGTGGATAGACAAATTTATTTTGAATGAGTTAAAGAATTAACTCCAAACTTAAAGTTACATACTGAATGAGTAATTTTGGTTCAATTGCATGAGGACTTAATATATTAAAACTTATTTTTATTTATATTTAATTCATTTAAAAGTACCCTCTTCTTTCAGGTTTTTTTTTAATTTTTCAAATAATTTTTTAAAGAATTTGTCCTGAGGTTGGACATGTTCACAAAATAGAACTGTCTTTATATAACTGGCTTTACAGAGGAAGTCCTGAAATTTTGTAAATTAGGTGTAAAAAATTAGACCTGTGTAGTATATAATAGTTCTTGTGTCACTTGTGGCTCACAGGTTGGTTGGTCTTCTGGCAGATGGGCGCAGAGACAGCGTATGTGACTTAGCAGTGGGACTGTTTGTTTCCTGGAGGGTTGTTACTCAGCCAGAAAGAGTGCTGCCTGGAGTACTCTCCAGTTAGAGGAGCTGCAGTGACTGACCAGGCAGGCTGTGTGTTGTGACTGCTTTCTCAGTCCCTGCCAAGTAGCAGGCAGTGCCCTTCAGCCACCAGAACTGAGAGAGCAGGGCTATGAGTTTGTGTAGTCAGGGGAGAAGAGGAAAGGAAGGAAGAGGCAGGGTGAACTGCAGTGCAAATGGGAGAGGAGGACTGGGTTGAATGAGGGATGTTGCCAGAGGCAAATGGCCCACAACAGTCACCGTGCCAATGGTATAGTGGTCTTGTGGCCTGCTCACTTGTGCACTCTTCCTGTAAAGCTGAAAGCAGGAGTCTGTATTGGCTTAAAAGCTTGGTTGTTACTTTTAGGTTTACTTTTGATGTGTTCCTGCTTAATGGTTCAGACCTTTACCCTTTTTTGTCTTCATGGGCAGTGTGAAATGGTAGAGGCTGAAGGGTCAGACTTCAGTTTAGACTGGACATAATTTAAAAATAAACTATTACATCAGATGCTTGTTATACAGACTTATTTTTCTTTCCTATCTCTTTCAGTTCCTTGATGACTTAAACAGATGGAGTCTGCTTCTCATTTCTCCTTTTATTTATCCTGATAAGTTACTTAAAGCAGAACATATAGCTTTTGTGACAGAAAGCACTTCAGCTCAGACAGATAATTTGCAGAAAGTACCTGGCTCTTCAAAAGAGGTAAGTAGTTCTCTTTGTTTCCTGTACAGAAAGTGATACAGATGGGTCATTTGGTAGGTATAAACCTAAAACACTTGAAGGAAAAAAAAATCAATGGCAGATAGATTTTGTATGTTTATAATGTTATTTGGAATAAAAATATAATCTCTTCATTAAAATTAATCACTGTTAATACTGTAGTTCTATTTTATGCTCCAAATAGACCCCTAGACGTTTTATTGAGATTTTTCTAGTAGCATGCTTCTCTGGCTGTGGAAGGGAACTGCAGAATTCCATTGTGACTTTGGATAGGTCATATATGGTTAGATATGCTGAATAAGGAAAAAATACTTGAAAGCTGTTGTACCAAGGCAGATCAGAAGTCTGTTTAGCTCAGTATCCTGTCTCTGACACTAGCTGAAACAAATAAGTAAGTAAGAATATACAGAGCAAGCATATGTTAAGATATCTAAAAAACTCTTCAAGCCTCCAACCAAGTGGTTGTGAAAAGTTGTAACTGAAATAGAAGTCTCTCTTGGAAGCTTCCTTTCATTGTGATTTATAAGTACAAGTTAAAGTATTATACATTTGGATAATTTTGTCAGTCTGTAGAAGTGAGGCCAAAATCAAGCTTTTAATCTCTGCTTTTCTATAAAATGCAGTGGGGGAATGGAATACTTCTGGGTTGGAATTTTGTAAATTGTGTTTACCTTTTAATGCATAGTACTTACAAAATGTTATTGAGGCAGCCAAAGATATAAATTAAACTAGTACTGAAATCTTTGTGGCAAGCACACTTAGAAAATGTTCATGTCCTAGATACTTTAGCAGTCTAAAAAGTGTCTTCTCCACTACTATATTGAAAGTGCAAAGATGTAGATTTAAAAGATGATGTTCTAAAACTTGAATTACTGAATATACAGCATCTCTAAACAGATTATGCATAAAAATAGTATCCAAACCCTATCAAAACTTGAGATAATGTTTCTTTCCCCTAAACTTTTTCCTCACATGAGGAATGCTTGCTGCCCAGACATCTCAGCTTGGATGCAGGTCTGAATGGGGAGAAAGGTTGTAACCCAAAGTAAAAGATAAGCTTACCTTGCAGGGAGGAAAAATTTTCTAAGTGGTACAGTTTGTCATAGTTTCTTCGTAAGGCAGTCATTTGTGTGTGCTGTATGCACTCTGTAGTGAAGAGGACAGAAGGGACCTTATTGCCTATTGGAAAGAAGATAAATGGAAAGATGTGCATGCTAGGATATCACTGGATAGGCAATAATAAAACATCTGGCCTGGTTGCTGGGGTACTATAAAATCGACAGAGCCCTCCCCTTAAACAGGCTGTGTTCCAAGCTAGGATCACCATATGGGGGGCAGTCCGTAAGGTGTCTTCCTGAATAGGCCCTGCTTAGTGCCCTAAAGGGCCATCTGTCATCCTTGCTTTTTGGCATGAGGTTTCAAGCTCCTTTTTTGGAGTTAAAGGAAACCTGCTTGCGGCCTGTCCATTTCCCTGGATGAGAAACATGTATTTTCCAGGCCACTTGTTCTGGGAAATGATCTAGGAGTCCTCTGCTGGAGTGAACATTGAGAGCAGAGTGGTTGGTAAATAGTCTTATCTAACTCGAGTGCAGGAACAGAAGGACTGATTGGGAATGGGCACAATTCCAGATTTGTGCCTGCAATCAAATTTTTAGTACTTTTACCCTCCATGGATAATTCCAGAACAGAGCGTGCTTTTGGAGTGTGTTAGTCTTTACCCTCTAGAGGAATGATGTCCAGGTGAAGTGCTGCATCAGGCAAAATCATTATCTCCCTGAAGCTCATAGTGTGACGACTGGAGGCACTGGAAGCTTGTTGAGAACTCAGGCTTTTTCTGCTGAAGTCTTCTGACCCTGCTTCCACTGGCCTCCTGTTTCCTTGGAGCACACAGGAAGTAGCTGCATTAGCTGGTTTCTAAATGGTTTTAGTGCCTTTGATGTAAGACTGGAATTTATCCAGGTGGACCCTACTTCTAGGAGATAATCTAGGTAGGATACTTCTTGTCCTGTCTACATTGTCTCAGAGTGTACCTGGGGAGTGCTGGGCCAGCTCAGACAGAAGGCTAAGGGAGATTATTTTTTTTATTATTCTTTACATTCTTTCTTTACATTCTTTACTCTTTTGTAGCAGAGAGGTCCACAAAAACATCTGAGTTGAAGTTCTAGTTTGTTGTTCTTTTGGGGTTTATTGTTCAGCAGAGTTTTCTAATCTTGTTGGTTTTGTTTGCGTTTTCTTTAGAACGGAAAATGTTTGCGTTCTTACGTATACAGTAATAATTAATTTAATTTGTCAAGCTCAAAAGTGATAGTCCAGGCAAAAGACTGAAACTAAAGAGGAAAAAGACTCCTGTTTTATTTTGTTTATTGTTCTTCTGTGTACATGTCACTTCTAGTGAAATGCTTTTAATTCTGCTACCTTTGGCAGCCAACATAGACAGGGGCTGTAAGAACAGATTGCTCCTGTGACCTATGATAATTTCTAGACAGAAAAGCCATTCTTTGTAGGGCTATCAGTGATCTGTGACTGGTTTCTGTTGAAACTGAGGTGGACCCAGAAAGCAGGAGTATAAATAATTTCTCATCGCTTACGAAGACCTGGTCTTTCATTTCATATTCCGACAAATTCTAAAAAGAATGCTGATAAAAAGAGCAAAAGTAAACTCCTAGGGTTTAATCAAAGTACACACTGACTATCAGAAGCTGAAAGCCATGTCTTGGAAATAAATACATATAGAATTTTACTTACAGAATGTGATAATGGTCTCCTGCCATTTTCTATGTTACTTGAGGCTTTTATAGCCTTGATCTTTGGGAAGGGTGTCTTTGTACTCCCAATTTGCTTTCAGCACTTAGTGTGGATGTTGTTTTGTTTACTTCTTTCGGGACTGTAGCAGGTATGGCTCGCTACATGACCCTTCCTCAGTAGGGTCTTTTGATTGTGTTCAGTCTCGTACATTGACTTCTGTAGTCATGAAGGGTGCACTTTTTTTATGAAAGGAACTGTCAACTGAAAGCCTTCTGTAGTTGAGATGCGTTGTCTCATGATATTATTAGACGTAGTGGTGGTTTTGAACATGAGGCATCACAGAAAGAAGTCTTAAAAGTGATTCTGCCAATTTAGTGTTCTATAAGCGTAGTAGCTAACTTTTTTTTTAAAAGTACTTACTTTAAAATTACTTCCAGTCCTTGGGTTTGCCAGTTGTGCCGTTTTGGTTTGATAAAGTCCCTCTGTTGGCTTTGCCTGCTGTTGTGCTGCCTTTTAATAGCAGAATCCTTCAGGAAGGAAGGGCAGTTTTTATTTGCAGTTCATCTTGCAGATTCATAATACAGTTGGTATTTTGATTTTTTTTCTGTAACCTTTTCAAACTGAAAAACATGCTTTATTCTAGATTGTGAAGTGGTCAGACTATTGTTCACCGTTGGCCTATAAACCTGGTGAGCCTTATAAGTTAATTGCTGAAGCAAGTGTAGATAATTTCAGTAACCTTGGAATAGCATTCATGGAAGACAGGCTTCAAATGGATAACGGAATGGTGCCACACAAGATTGTTTGTAAGTATCTTCCCAAATAGTTTTTAATGGTAGAACATGTTTGTTTCACAGTTATTTTAGGACTGTGCATACAGTCTTTATACCTATATAAAAATCCATGATGTTTTGGCACAATGTTTTTTTCCTGTTGTCATTCTAGGCAATTGATCACTCTGTAGCTCTACCCTATTTTATAGTCAATACTGTGAAATACAGAGATCCTTGGAAAGTTAGACCACTCTTTGAGTGAGGAACTCTCTTTACAGAATATCTTACAAATGCAACAACAGAAATAACAGAAAAAATGGATAAAAATTTTTTTGGAATAAACTCCCCTCTTTTTCTTCAGTGCCTCATGAGCTACTGCTAATAATTAACTTTAGTATGATGAGATCTCCTAGTATCCAATATGTACCTTTTGCACATACATGAATGTATAAATGTCACAAAGTTGAAGTTAGAGAAATATTTCTCTAAGTCTTGTCTGTTAGATTAACTAACCTATTTAGAAAAAAGGTACAGACGGTTTTAGACAAATACTCTCTTTTTTCAGCTTCGAAATGAAAGTGTATTCAAAGCTAAACATGGGTTGAGAATAATTGCTGTAACTTGAGCATCTTAATCCTTTAGATCACTGAGAAAAGCTCACAGATGCTTTCTAGACAGGGAGGGGGAACCAGGGGAAGGAGGGCGGTGTCATTGCAATTGAATTTTGAATTTTTGGTGGATGGTTTATTTCTTTAGGGGGTGATATTGATGATATCAAAACTATGACCCTTTGTGTCCTCATTAGTTTAATACTTTCAGCTAAGGCAGGGAGGGAGTTCGCGGCTAATTCCACAGAGAGGAGAAGGAAGTAGTCGTGGTTGTACTTGTAACACCATTCTTAAATAGCATTGTTGTCTGGGCTGTGGGAAGTCTGAGCTTCACCTCCCTTAGCTGCATGAGATTTCAACTTCTTTTTTTCCAGCACTGTTCTAAAAGTGCCATAATATGCATTCTGTAGGGTATTGTAGAGTAGTGGGTTCTCAGGGCGTAGAGCCACACTTTTTTGTTTGTTTGCTTTTTTGTTCAGCAACAGTCTCATTTCTTCCTGCCTAGTTGTGTCTTCTCAGCTGTGTTGATAAAACTGTGGGTCACATAGAATATAAAATAATGATTTGGGCTACAAAAAAAATCCTCTTCCCTGCCCCTCACCAAAAAAAGGGGGCTAGCGGGTTTTTTGTTTTGTTTTTGTATTTGGTTGTGGGGTGGTTTGTTTGCTTGGTTGTCCTTTTTTATGTAGATCATAGTCCATTGGCAGAAGTCAGGGAATGACAAAATCAAGAACAGTTAGCTGGGGTGCAAGAGGGTAGGAACATGCTCACAAATGTATCTGTGGTGAAACTCTGTCTCTTGGTGATGTTCTGCAAAAATATTCATGCAAGGAAGGGATGGAAGCTAAGAGAATGCCCCAGTCATTTACTTTTCAGAATGTTTTCTGGCTCATTTAGCTTCAGGTACTGTGTGCACGCTAGAACTGCTCCAGGACAACAGGCTGATGGAGGCTGTTGATGGAATAGCATGTAGGCTGGTAGCTGTGAAATTCTCCTGGGATGTGAAAAAACTAGGCAGAGGGGATATAGTTTCAAGGAAATGCAAGTATTGTTAAGTGAAGAAAGTGTTTAAACTTGGTTCTGATGTATTGTGTGCCAGTTGACTATTTTGTTAATCAATTTTCTCACAGAATTTTTTTGAGAAATCAGAAACAAAAATATAGTAAGTTTATTTGGCCTTATGGGAGTGCAGAAGGATTCAGTAAAATTTTTCAGACTTTGATTTGAAATATTTTTGTGGCTCAGCAGCTGAAAGAAAAATTACCTTATGAAGGGTATTTTTTCTCTCCTCTTTCTTATTTAGATTGCTCTGCAAATTTCACACTGACAGTAATCATCTTTGCCCTTCTTTCCTCACTTGTATTTGCCAGAAAAATTTTCTCTTTGCATTTCCATCCTTTGCAGGGGGAGAAAGGGGAAGGTTTAATAGTTCTTCCTATTTGCTAGTTTTCCCTAGGATTCTTAGCTCAGAGGTCTTGCTGTGGGTGGGTGTATATCCCTTTCTGCAGACTGAAAACTGTTCAGTTGTTTTTTGGTTTTTTTTACTGCCTTTCACTTGTGCCAAACTTCTATCTGCAGCCTTCAGCAATGCAAGAGACATGCTTCAAAGTTTCTATCTTACCCAATCTAATCACTTTATTATTTCAAAATAGCAGCAAGCAATTTTCTACCCTGCCCTTTTTAAGAGACCAGTATTTTTCCAAATGTACTTCCCTTGATTCATTTTGTCCTTTGCTGGGGACGGAGACGCAGGCAAAATAACAAGCTGACAAGGTGATGCGTTTGAGAACTTCCTAACCCTCCCACCCATACACTATTGTTCTGTTAAGAACACATCCTCACTGTGTACAGTAGCAGTTGTGTTTTACTTTTGTGTGAGTATTTTTGCACTCACAATAAATGTCAGTTTGTTTAAACGTGCCTTGTAAATATTGAGTGTTGTGCTTTCAGTCAGACTTCCCTGAAACAGTCATTAGAGTAAATTACTTGTGTTATGAGTGCAAATTTATTATGTTCTTGGGAGGGGGGTGGTGTTAGGATTTGGTGTATTAAACCAGTGCAAGTCTTGCTATTGTAGATGATTTGTACTGAAATTGAATCTAAATCCCACTGTGGTAGTGTTATTCATCATAACTCTTTTAATATAATTTTTATAACCCCTTTTTCTTATTCTTAAACTCTTCCAGCTGTCCATTTACAGGAATCTACTCTGAAGGAGTTGGCCCAGGTGGCACCATCTGTAAAAGAGCAAAGTATAAGCAGTACACAAATGGATGAAGTAACTCCTGCTGCTACTTTTGGGACTATGGTTAAATCAGAATTAGGAGTAGCTGAGTCTGCAGGACGAGGTGAAGAGGAGAAATCCAAGCTAGAGAAAGATCGTGAGCATGAAGATGAATCCAACGGTCTGTCTGACAAAGAGACAGGTGCTGGAGAACATCATCACTTGCATCTTTCCAGCTGTCATGAATGCCTGCAACTTGAAAACAGTACTATTGAATCGGTCAAATTTGCCTCTGCAGAAAACATTCCAGAGCTTTCTGATGATTGCAAAAGCAAACTGGAAGAGAAGAATGACGACTGTCTAGTAAGAGGAATAAAGAGAGTAAACTTTGCTGGAAAGTCCCCTAATGTATTGATTTATCTTGGCTCTGAAACTGCAAAAGTGGAATTTGAGCAGGTAAAATCAATCCTTCAAGAATGCATTGGTATAGACAGCTACACCATCTACCAGCTGCGTGAGGAACAAGTTCTGAAAGATCCATGGATTGATAATGCGCTGCTGTTGATCATTGCCACAGAGGAGCCTATTTCTGAGGAGAACCACAAAGAATTTATCAAGTTTTTATCTAAAGGTGGAAAGATTCTAGGATTTTCTTCATCTTTTACATTTGATGGCGTACAAATAAAGAGAAAAAAAAACCTGAAGAAGACTGTTCATGAATTAGTGGTCTCTAAAATGGACAGCACTGAAGTTAAGTTGAATCTTTTGCTCAGTGGCTATATTTTTGAGGAAGTGATGAAGGAAGATACCAAAGTGAAGACATTGAGTCGATTAAATAATGCTGATGAAGATACAATTATTGTTCATGTGACTTACGGAGACAGTGGAGGAGAAGCCATTCTTTCTCAGGTACTGTGTATGCAGAAGCATTAATTTGCTCATTGCTACATGATGTTGTAGTATGCTAAAAAATTCGCTTGTTCCCATTGCATGCTCTTGGGGATGCTTGTCAAGGGGAGGTACCACAGTGGGTGGTAGAGGAGAGAGCAGATTTGCATGATAAGCAAGCATCTTCAAGAGCAGAGCTATCCTTTCCTTCCTGCTAGAAGTTGTGCAGTGATAGAACTGTGCATTTTGCCTATTTTGGGAGGTGGGAACAGGAAGAGCCAAGTTGTTGGTGGACTTGGAGTGAACGCTTATACTGACAAGATAAAAAACAGAGACATGCTTACAAAAGTATGAACTGTGGTGAAGCAGAGAGTCGGGAGAGGACGTAAAATAAACCTTGCAAGAAACTTGAAAGATGTCTTCTCTTAAGGTTTAAGGTAAAGGTAGCCAGGACTTCTGGAAATCTGACTAGGGAGTGAGAGTGTCCCAGCCTCTATTACTTGTTGTATGCCATGTCTAGAAAAACTGCTGTATAATTCTTGCTTGAGCAAGTAACTACATGATAAAGGTTAGTGTGACTGCACTGAAATGCCATTGTTGATTTAAGTCTGTTGGTTCTTTTTTGCTAGTATTGCTACCATTTTCTTAGTTATATTCTATTTGTATCTTAATGTTATGAAGCAAACTATTTTTTGTTTTCTTTAGCAGTGTTTTGATTAAGGCTAATTTCTAGATGGATGTTAGGTTCATAATATTGCATTGCTGTTCTGTCGTTTAAAAAACCCCTTTATTCAACTGGAATGCATTTTTTTCTGTTTACTATCAAAATTAAAGTTCTAAAACTTGTGTTTTGTTTTCTAAACCTTGACATGTTTTCAGTCAGTAATATATGCTCCTTTTTTTATTTTTTTAGTTGGGGGTGTGGGCGAGAATCTAGTCTGCTGGAAGCTTGCTTCCTGAGTCTTACTTCAGGCTTTAAACTTTTAAATGTTTAGCATTCTGCACCTAGCAAATAGCTCAGAGCACCTGGGGGACAGAAGTGGAGGAGTCTAGAATGAGAGAAAATCTTACTCATTCTACTTATGAATAATAATATAGGTACCTCTCCAGTGTTACGGTATTGTGATGTCTGTTAAAAAACCCCAAAACAACCAAAACCAACAAACAAACCAACCCCACACCCCCTCAAAAAGTTAATCAACAGATAAGTTTGAGTGTTCATAATTTTTTTTTGTTATTGTTACTCTCTGTCTTCCTGGATAATGGGTAAGGAAGCTTCTGTGGCTGTGTTAAAGATAAATGTTGGTCACTGATTATTTAAATATTCACAGATATCTGGCTAAAGTTTTGAGTGATAGAGAGGCTGATAAGAGGTACCATTAAGTTTAGAAAATAAGTCTGTGCCTCGGAAGTATGTGTCTACCTGGGTGTATAACCTGTGCTATTAAAGCTAGGGAGATTTCAGCCATTTCATAGTAAAACTTTTAAAGTGAGCTGGGAAGCAACTTGCACATTTTGAGATAGCCTCAGTAGGAGCAGAGGTAAACACTTTCTGTTTAGCATGGCTGTTCACAATTACATTACTTCCCTTACTCTGTCTTTGCTTTCAAGCAGCACATTGAGAAACGCAGAGAAAGATTTATTTACAAGTAATTAAGTAGATGAGGAATATAATGGAGCTGAACAAACTTTATGAAATAATCTAGGACTTATTTTTACCCATATTTTAGTTACAGGAGAACTTTCTCAGGAGCCCAGAGCACTCAAATTTAACTGCTCACGTATCGGGTAGCATACGCTCTTCTAGCAATTACGTAATTCAGAAATATTCATCAGGTTTCTTAGAAGTGTTTTTGTCTCTTATCAGTTTATCAGATTAAATCTGCTAGCTTTTTGGAAACTGTTATACATAGTAGCATGTTTATAGCTTTATGTAGGAAGCTTTGCCACCCATGTGCTGTATGCTTGTACTAGAAAATTGATTAGATACTGTTGCTATCCGTTTCTGCAAGTTCCATGGTAAAACCTGCTTTGCTGTACCGTTTAAATTGACCCTTCTGCTGTAGTAAAACTTAATACTGCAGAGGTTTTCCTCAGAAAAAGGGCATTACAGTATAGCTTCAAAAATCAGATTAAAAGGATTAGTGTGTCATTTTATAATTTTAAATGACTTCCAGTCTGGATTTGAAAAGCCTTATTGTTTTCTCTTCAGGGGACCGACAGTGACATCAGCCATTAAATATTCTGTCACAGACTTGTTTTTTCCCTTTTTTCTGTACTCTTCACTCCCCCATTTCAGCATATTTCACTGAATTTCAATAAAATAGATCATATATGAAAGATGAAGAACATCGTTAAGATGTGCAAAATTAGAGAACAAAGATAAAAGCTTGTGATTTTCATTAAATGAATATACATACAGTAGGCTACAAAGGCTTCTAAATGTCTTGGAACACTTATTTAAAAAACAAAAACCACCAAACACAAAAAACCCACAAAACAACAAACCAAAAAGGAGGTCTAGAAAGGATTTTTTTTTTTTTTCCTTCTGCATTTCATTTCTACTTTTAAGCATCTGCTTCAGCCTTGAGGAGTGATTCTCTCTAAGGTGGTGTTCTGGGGTTCTTAGTTCTCTTTAGGACAGAAGCATTTCTTTATCTGCACTAATTGTAACTTAATTCATGTGACACCATATAGACTGGCTCAGCTTGAGTTCTAAGTATCTTGTGCAACCTTTGATAAAGCTCTTTAAAATTGAAAGTAATTCTGATTTTGTACAAACCAGAATATGACCAATATTGCTGCTGGTTCTAGGTTGTTAGCAGACATGAAAAGCAGAAGGAGAAGTTTAAATTAGTAAATACAAGTTTGAACAACTCCTTCAGGAAAAGACCAATTTATTAAGAAGGGATATTTTGTGTAGGTTTTAGAGAAAATTGTAGTGTACTGGCAACTGTGATCCCTGAATCAGAAACTATAAATATATAGGTATTCCCTTGTTTATTAAGATAATAAAGCCCTACTTGTGTAGATATGATGAAGACATGAGAAACTTGTAAATGGCAGTAGTAACACTGGATAATTCAGCAACCACAGTCAGGACAAAGCTGCTTTTAGAACTGTTGTGCTTATATCTCTCTGCCATGCTAAAATGTGTAATACTAATTTTATTTTATTTTTTAATTATTCCCTTTACACATATCCTACCAGGCACACTTGGAACTAGATATCAATTCTATGGATGTCCAAACTGAAGAGGATTTTAATTTGCTTAAGATAAGCAACACAAAGAGATATGAAGTTCTCAAAGAGATCCTGATATCGCTTGGCCTGAGTTGTGAATTAAGTGAGATTCCTATGTTAACACCTATTTACCTTCTGTCTCCTGATGAGGTAAGGCTTCTGCTTACATTTCAGTTGTTTGAGATTTGCCCTACAAGAGAAATTCAGTGTTCACTTAAATACAGCTTGTTTCTTATGTGATATTTTTGTTTGGTGAGGTTTACATATGTATTACAGGTAAGTAAAAAGTTTAATTTCTACTCTGCCACTATTTTGTTACCTGCTAGTAGTAGTTTTGAATTTAACAATGGGGAAATTGTGCAGGGTTAACTTTTCAGATATTTGCTATATTTCTGTGAAGAACTCTTATGCTCATTTGCATGCTTCTGCAATATCAAAACACAAGGACTGTAGTAAGCTATAGAAAGAACTGATTTGAAATATAGGATTTGTTTTTCTTTTAAAAAGAGGTAGAAAGTTCTGTATAGGCTGGCAACAAAAGATCAAACCCAAATTATGGGAAATGATGTGGACCGAAACTGAAAGACCTGAATTAGTAAAGAGGAGAGTGTGATTACACAATGAAGACCTTTATTCCTGAGGATGTTGTAATATTTCTTGGAAATAGCATAGCTTCTTGTAATTCAAATAGTCATCTGACTATTCTGGACTTCTCAATTTAAGACATTGCTATGAAGAATTGTGAAGAACATATAAAGCAGTAATTTTAACTTTTTTTTTCTCCTAAACATGACTTCAAATACATACGAACCGTATTATATTGATCTGAAGGGGTGAAGCAGTAGGTGATTAAAAAGCAATACAGGCTACTCAGACTCTTTTGAAGTTGTTCTTTCCAATCCATGTAGGGTTGTCATGACTTGCTCCTAGCATGCTTGTCTGATTCCTGCTCCTTTTCTGTACCACCCGAACATTAGCACAGCAATGAGATCCCTGTCTTTAGGGGAACTCAACTACTGAAACTCCTCCTTGGATGCCTGTTTCCAGCAGTATTGTGTATAACCTCCTTTTTTTGGCTACAGGATCAATCAGTGAACAAAGTGACGTATTGCAGCTGAATTTTTTAAAGTAACTTGGATGATATTTTAGATTTAGATTGTACTGTTCAAATACCGCTTCAGTAATCAGAAAGATTAATCCTTAGCCTCCTCTTTGTAAAACTGAATGAACCCCAGCTTCCTCATTCTCTTCTTATAGATGTGTTGAGTACTCCTAACCTCTTTGTGGTTGCTTTTCAAGGAATCCTAACTAGAAATTCTTTGTGTAAGCTGAAGTCTGCTTTCCAAAGACCTAACTCTGCTGCTTCCCGTCTCAGCCTTCCTCCAGATCTTGGTTTCTCATGGTTGCTACAGCCAGTGCTGCTGTCTGACCAAAAAGAAAGAAATTCTTCCCTATGAGCAGTAAATCCAGAAGAATTATCTATATGTGTGGCAGGTGTGGAAACAAAACCCATTTAGCCATTTTGACTAATATGAAATATACTCTATACAGAAGACTTGTAGTTTATTGAACTCTTCCTTTTTTTAATTCTCCTCCTTCACTCTTCATGATTGTTTCTCTCCTATGTACTTGCAATTTTCAAACATTCCATGAATAAAAAAGTTAGCTAATTTCTATCCAAACTTGCCACCTAGTGGCATATTACAGGTTGCAGGCCATCCATTAAAGGTATTTTTCCAATGTATACTGTATAGCTAAAGTTTATACCAAAATTAGGTTTTTAAATGTTGTTTTTCCACAGGTTTTTTAAATGGTAGTTTATCTATGCTTATATGTGTAGTCATTGTTTCAATGGCTTTTCCTTTAGCCATGATGTGCTTCCAGAATATTGTGTGGAAGGAAGTTGAAACTTGTGTGTAAAAACTACAGTTAATAATGAAGAGATAGCGTATTAAAGTAAATAAGTATGTAATAGTTCAGCTTTCTAACAAGTTATTTATTTTTCTCCATACATCATGTTCTATATAGGTCTTCTTGCTTTCCTAGGGAGCAAGGAGATACCAGAAATATACCTGACAGGTGAATAATTTGAGGAAATACTTAAACATGTTTAAGATCAGAGTGAGTCAGTAGTACTGAAAATGGAGGAGATTGTCTTGCAAACTGTAGTACTCTTGAACTTCCTTCCTTTTTAATTGCTATTTTTATGGAGAACTTGTCCAGTACAAGTCACTGGGGATGTATTGAATAGTATATTCCTTCCCTGAGAGATTATCGAAGTACTGCTCATTGACAGCAAGTGAGTTTTGGATGATTTTCTTATTTTTCACTGTAATAAGAAATGTCATAATCAGTCAACTAACTATCAAACAAGCTCAATGTCCTGTTAACAGTTCCAAAAATGGAAGAACAGCAAACACACTTCTCTTTTTTCTAAAAGTTGGCAGTTCACTAATGATTCCTCACCCCCAAACTGAAGGTTGCATCTGTACCACTATGTTTAAAAGCCATTGGTAGACCTAACTTTGTCAGATTTTTCTAATCAATTTTAGAAACTACAAGCTCCTTTTGCTTATGTGGAAGAAATAATAACTGATTTTGCTCTGCATTTTCTACACCATTAAGAAAAAATGTACTTTTTTCTTTTAGTAATTTTTAAATTCTTTATATTTAAAGTCCTAGTTTGGCTAGTTTTTTCTTTCTGATCTATAAACTTCAATTTACAGTAGAGCTGTAACCTGTTCTGTGTGATTTCCTTGGTTTCTCTTCCTCGCTCCCTTTCCTCCTTTATCAGTTAAGAACTTTCATCAGACCTATTTTCTACTTCATTGTGGACATCAAATAGAACTTTCTCAACTTTATTATATTAATAAATAGCTTCATTTGTCCTTTGCTCTGCCTACAATTCCTGAACAATCTGTGGCTTTTTGCATCATTGTTGTGATGCTGTTAATAATCCCATCAAATCTATTGTGTTGTTTGGTATAAATTTGATTATTAAGACTTTCAGATCTTCCTATCTACTCTCCGAGTCTTGGACAGTGCCTTTTACAATGTAATTTTTAGCTGCTTCTGAGGGGTGGATTGGAAGAAAATTTTTTTCCTCCTTAGGATTCACATTTTGCAGTTTTAGTTTCTAGTTTATATGTTTATCATGTATCTTAAAGTCACAGTTTTACTACATGGACTAAAAAAATCCAATAAAATATGAGCAGAACTAGCATTAGCTTTCTGAAAATCAGCATAACTTTAGAATTTGGGGAGACAATTTTTTTTAATTCCTTAAAAAAAAAAACCCCAAACCAAACAACTAATTCTGGGGAGAAGAGTTGATTTTTGACTTTTAAGTGTTCGGGATTTCATACATGTTATCTATTACTTTTTCTAAGTTTATCTATATTAAAAACTGGGGGGTAGTTTGATGTATGAAAAAAGAAGCAAAAGTATAATTAGCTCACATAATTAAATTTGAATGTAGTGTCCTTTTCTTTGGAAAAAGACTTGGAAAGGCAGATGTTAGTATTTCATGAGGAGTTATGAAGTTTGTAATGCACTTTTTGCCTTTTGCATATGAAAAGAAAATTTTAGTTTAGGGTGGAATGTAGGAGACTTGGGAAGAAATATTTAAACCTTGACAGTAGTTACATTGAAAATTACACAATTAAATTTTACCACTCAAGAAAAATACATTAGGAAACGGGACGGTCAAGCTTTTTAAAAAGTGATACATTGACTGCATATGGCTAAGCCAAACTAGATTTATGCTGCTGATACAGTTCTAAAACAGGCAGAGGTTTCCAGCTGTGCTATATGCAAGTTGGAGATGGGATGAGTTGGATGCTCTGCTTGTCAGTAGAAAGTTAAAATGTCAGACTGAGGTAATTTATTAATTTTTTGTGTATATTGCAGTTCTCAAATAATGTTACTGCTGTGATTGATTCCCATATCTTGGAGATCTTAACTTTTACTCTTTTTTTTTTTTTTTCCCCTCTTTCCTTCTGTGTTTCTTTTGTTCACCTGGCTTTTTCTTAAAATGTCCACAGGCTTTACCAGTCTGAGATTGAAATTCTGGTAATACTATGGCTTCAAATTCAAATAAAAGCTCCAGTATCTGCATAATATATGATAATGTCCATCTGTCAAGAGGTCTAGATCTTACCATGTAGAATTATGCTAGTCCAACATCAGTGAGCCCTAGCTGAGGGTTGTGTTGAATGATTGCTGAGACAGTGTGCTTCTTATTCCTGATATCCTTTCTTGTAAATGGAGCGTAAGGTAGGGGGCCTGGAAAGTAACAGCACTCGAGGCTACTCTTTCATCACAAGATTTTTTTGCACTAAGGCTTGCAAGTGTGGTTTGCTTCAGATACAGGCATATGGACATTTTTAAATTTGGTTAACTGGGAAGAATCCATATTATATTGATACAGTGCTACAACAACAAGGAAGGCAGTGTTTGAACGAAGAGCAATATAGTTTGAAAGGCAGGTTACTTGCCTGTTAATCGTTTGGTAAAATCTGCACAATTTATTGGTGTTAAATGTAGTTTTAGAGACCAGTATTGATATTGAAATGCAGCACCTTTTTTCTTTTCCTCTTTCCTTGATCTGGTGTAGAGCAGTTAAGCAAATTGTAGACTTGCACATTGCTGCAAAAAGAGAATTCTGTGTCACTGTGGTGCAGGCTGAACTCAAAGTGTTGAAACAAATGGTGATCACTGTAAGCCTGTTGTCTGGCACCCATATGTTCAGTGGCAGCTTCAAGCATAGAGATCTGATTTTTTCTGGAGCTTTGCCTTTAAATGCCCAAATATTGGCTCTTTCATATTGCCATCTTAAAGGATAATTTTTCAGACGTAAATGCTAGGATTGTATTTTATTGCCATACGTTGCAGCGTAACATCTTCTAGGTTGCAAAATAAGAATTCACTTCTTGAAGAATGAGAGAGATTTGTCAGAACAGTGATTATTTGTATTAGGAAATACATTACACTCACACATTTGCTAATCTGAAGCTTCTTAAACTTGACTACTAACTCCTTAGGCTGTGTTAGGCTGAGTCACTTTTTTCAGTATCTTCCAAATGGATGGTGGCCAAATGATGAAATGTAATCAGTTTTCATCACTTCAGCTCAGCCAGTAACCATCTTTTAAACAGTACATTCTTCCGGAATAATAAACAATCAATACAAACATATTGGCTGAAGCTTGAAGTTGGGGGTTTTAACTCTAGTTTATTGGAGACAGAAAGAGTAATTTAAAAAGTGCAATTGAATGTATCTCTTGAATTTCAAACGTTCCTTCAAAGGACACTTTGAGATACAAAATATTGCACTCACAAGGGTAATGCAGTACGAAGATGACTTTGTATTTGAATTACTCTGTATACTACAGCACAATCAGAATTCAGTCAGACCAAATTCACATGTCTTGAGCTGCAGTTTTGATTCTGTGATGGCATTGGCTGTTTTTAAATTCCAAGTCCATTATGTCACAACGAAAGTATGAAGTTACTTTATCATGAATAAATCTTTCTTTGAGGATGGGAAACTTGAACTCTCAGCTAACACTATAATGAACCTAGATTTCAGGGTACATTTCAAGACAATTGTTTCTTAAATATTTCCATGTATATTAACTTATGTTGTAGAACTTGAGATTCAACTGTGAAACTTCAGAGGTTTTTTAAAAATTTCCAGTGCTAAAATCAGGGATAGTTATACTGAAACTCTAAAGCCTTATTTTTATTGCTGTCCAAGCTTCGTGCTTAAAAGGAACCAAAAATGTATAATCTACAAAATAGGAGACTTCCTTATTTTCTCCTGTCGTCCTCAAAGCATAAGCATCATCCCTGCCTTTTCACCAGTAAGAAAAAAAGCAAGAGCCCTTTGGAAATATTTATTCCAGAAAGGAAATTTGTTCTTTGCTCTAGCTCAGAAGTAAACTGAGAGCTGAGAAAAATGTTGAATGAAAAACACACCATGTCAGAGATCTGAAAGGATTCTGTTGATTACTGATAAATAGTTTGTGTCTAACATTTTTTATTTTTGTTAATGTATTATATGTATTATTTCAAATGTACAGTGCATTGTTGCCAGAAGTCTTTGCCTGTACTTGAAAGCTTTGCCAGTTGGTTTCTCGGCTAGGAATGAAAATGTATTTTATGGCAAAGTTGCTTTGGGGGCGGGGGGAAGTAGATAGAGCAATGTAAATTCATCTGTACCAGTAAAAATGTGTATTTGCTGGAACAGCTTATTCTTTTTGGGAAATTGATTTAATGTATGCCATCTGTGGAACTCTTTTTGCTATTAAAAGCTGTGTTTCTACTAGGCTGGTTAGGCAATGCAGTGCATTTGGCAAACCATTCGTGTTCTGACAGGTAGTATGCTTTTTCCTCTTAAGTGACTTTCTGAAGAATTTATCTGTAAAACTTAACCCAAGGGCTGCTATCAAAGTACTCTCAATTAAAAATATTTGTAACTTAACTCCATGTGCTTAGGGTTTGGTTTTTTTTCCCTAATAAATTCAAAGTTATTTGTTGGCTTCCAAGGCTTCGAGGTGTGCTTGTGTGCAGGGAGGGTGGGTTTGCTTTTGTTTGTTTTGTATTCTTTCCTTTCCTCAGATTAACTTTTGTTGCTTTATAACAAAACTTGCAAACCCAGAGGGTTTTACCCCAAGCTGGCAGCTAAGCGCCATGCAGCTGCTCGCTTGCTCCCCCCATGTTGCGATGGGGGTGAGAATCGGAAGGGTGACAGTGAGAAAACTCATGGGTTGAGATACAGACAGTTTAATAGGTAAAGCAGAAGCCACGCACACAAGCAAAGCAAGACAAGTAATTCATTCAACACTTCCCATCAGCAGGTGGGTGTTCAGCCATCTCCAGGAAGGCAGGGCTCTATCACGCCTAATGGTGACTTGGGAAGAGAAACACCATCACATTGAATGCTGCCCCCTCCCTCCCCACACCCCCTCAGCCCACGTTCATTATAAGCTGAGCATGATGTCATATGGTATGGAATATCCCTTTGGTCAGTTGGGGTCAGCTGTCCTGACTGTGTCCTCTCCCAACTTCTTGTGTACCCCCAGCCATCCTGCTGGCAGGGCGGCGTGAGAAGCGCAAAAGGCCTTGGCTTTGTGTAAGCACTGCTCAGCAATAACAGAAAACACCTCTATATAGCAAAAACATCTCTATGTTATCAACACTGTTTCTAGCACAAATCCAAAACATAGCCCCATACTAGCTACTATGAAGAAAGTTAACTCTATCTTAACTGAAACCAGGGCAAGGGGTCACACCAATTGTGAACCAAAACTATTTCAGTCGTGTTGTCATTCATTGAAAAGCTCAATGTCTGGATTCTAATAATAGTCCTACTACGCTGGTGTTCAAGTGTGTGGTTCTAAAAAGAACGGTCCTCTAAGAGGGGGTGGTTATTTCAGTAGCTCTTCCTCACCATCAGCATTCAAGGTAATGAAGGTACATAGGGACCATCTCCTGCTTCAACAGTTCAGAGCTCTCTTGGTCAGAAGAAAGCAGAAAGCCATTCTTCTGAGAGCTAATGCACCCTGAGGTGTGAGACCCTGCAGATTCCTGGTTTGTGCCCACTTCCAGAGGCGAGAAGTTTGCCAGCTAAGCTCTCTGCAGGTTCAGCACGGAAAAAGTCCATTCTCAGAAATCCTTAAGCCACGTAGCGCTTTTTGGGCACCAGCTCTGTGATAGTGCTGGGCATAAGATGAGGGAACTCGATGGCACAGCAGAATGAATTGTAGAGATTGAAGGTGATGTGTTGTTACTTCACATTTGTGAACGGCTGAGTGATTATGGTCAATTACTGTGGTTTACCAAGCCCATGTAATTTCTTAATCTCAGCAGAGTAGCTGAGAGGAGTGATGCTCCCCTGTTTGCAGTCCTGACCCTCTCTAGCATACAGAGGGAGGATGAAGTACAGGACTTGAAGGTAGGTGCAGCATGAGTGAGGATGGATAGAAAAGGGAAGAGGAGGAAATCTGCAGATGGGAAACCAAGTTCTTGTTTCTCAGTGATATTTCCTCTTGTACCTCAGTGAACAGTTTTGTCAAACTTGTCATACAGTTGTGTAGTAGACGGAGGTGGAATAAGTACTGTATATTTTAGCACATTTTCTTCTTTCTCCTCAGTCTTCTATTATTCTGCATACCATTGTTAGTGTAGTTTCCTAATAAATCTGCCAATT